AGCCATGAGAAATAAATATAGCATTAGAAATTCCATAAGCGTTCAGTGAAGGAGTCTGCTTTTACCACACTCCCTCTAATTATGGCTCTGGGTAGAGAAGGTACTTAGAAATGGTCCCTTAAAATTTGTATCCTTCTATTGTTTAGTTTCCACATTTTCAATACTAAAGGAAAAACTAATTTCTGATTATTTTGGTGGACTTTTGCTCCTTAATGTGGTTTTGTCAGCAGTGCAACTCTAAACAGAGGTCATATTTAAATTATTTAATAATAAGGCTCGTTAGGAGTCTACTGAGAAGAATAAGAGCAGTTTATGTCTCTATGAGAAAGCAGAAAGAGAAATTATTGCAACACATACCGACATCTTGAATTTGCCTTTTCCTATGACTTCCAAACAAGTGTTGCTAAAACAGCAGGGGACACAGTACAACTGTCTACTTATATATCGTCCTCTCTGAAGACATTTTTCCAGCTTCTGTTAGATACTTTTTTAATGAAATACAGATTGTTGACCGTTAATCATCCAACTTACAGATTTGCTTAACTGGCAGGCATAGTTATGATTTTGCAGATGGCCATTCTCACCTTGCCAGATTTGACCCATTTCATATTAAAGTTATGTCATTCACAAACGAAATATTTCACAAAAATGTTTGTATGACTTTCTGATTGGCATGCATTGTAAAGCTGTAGTTGGTAACAAAAATCTAAATTCAACTCAAATTTTTCCTTCAGTTAAAAGATCCTCTTTTTTTTTTTTTTAAGCTTAAAAGACATCAGTTGAGTTAATTATTTTTACAATATCTAATGGGATGAATATTATCTGATGCAGCAAGGGTTAGTACCTTGCTTTGTTGTTTTTTTAGGAGTCCTGTTTATTCATATTGAGTTTTTGTTGTCCTCAGAAATTGTTTAGATTGTCTTAGCTGGTTCATCTGCTTTTCCAAGTCTTTGCATTTAACAGTTATACCAATTGTATGGGGAGCCAAAAAGACTGGAAAGGTAAATTCTGTAGTTTTCTGGAGGTCACTCCCAGAGAGCAGCTGGTGTGATTTGCAGGTTATATTTAGTGAACTGACTGGATTTGACTGATTTTCTCATCTATTTTCTACTTTTAAATCATTGCATTTTAGAAACTTCTCCACTAGTCTCCATTAAATGAAGACTGTCTGGGCAAAGCTCCTATCTTGTCATTTCCCCATCACCAAAATGACAGAAATAGCTGGAAGAGGAGTTTGGGGAGAATCATTTATTATAAAAAGAAGCTTCAAAGTGATAAAGTGTCTGGAAAAAAAGGGGGCTTATATTAACCATTATGTTTACAAGCTAGTAAACAAGGACATTTTAAAGTATAAGCTATCAAAAACTGATGTTTTATCATATTTATGGCATTGTTGTAACACCGGTTCTGCTATTTGTGCCTTTGTTTTTCTCATTACATGAAAAAACCAATTCTGTGCTCCTTTTCAAGTAATTCTACTAAATATAATTCATCCCAATGTGGAAGCCCTTTATATGGGGCTGGCAATGCTGGATAACCACAGCATGAGGTCTCTACACTTGGTGGATTTCATCAACAGGGAATTCTGAGGATCACAATGCTCGGCTCATTTTGGGTTGCAGGATTCAGCCTTTAATTTGCAGCAAATGGAACAGGATGGTGTTATTCTTGTCCAAGAAGTGTTCTGAGAATGATGCATACAGCAGAACCTCATGAAAGATCATTAACATGTTACTCTCTAGGCCTACAGGCTGAAGGTGGACATGCCACACAAAGTCATGCAGTGTCCTCCCTTTTCAGCAAAGAATGCCCTGCAGGCTCTGCAGTGAGCTCCTGTACAGAACTCAGGCTTTATTGCTCCGATTCACTGGACTCCATTCACCATTTCTTCTTCTGCTGAAAGTATTATCATGAATTAGAAACATGAGCCTGCCTGTGCTAAGTGATTTTAAAAAATAAAATAAAATTAGTTTTATATATTGCAAATATATACATGTGTATATTATGTGTTGCATATATATAAATATATTTTGTTTTTGTAGAAACTTGAAGTCTAGGCCTTAATTTTACTGGGCTCTACATAAAAAGAAAACCTCTGTCCTGAGGACCTGAAGTTCTCTTTATTCTTCTATCACATTGTGCAAGCATACAAAGTTCAGAAATATGTGAATTAGTGCATATTTGCAGTTGAACTTCTTCCTCCATTTTCCAAGGCCAGCTCAAATGTCCCTTTGGCACTTCTTCAGAGGCTGTGCTGGGATTGTGCAGACCAGGTCTGGACTACCTGTTCTTTCTTTACCAAGACACATTTTTGGGGCCACTTTGTAGCTTATGGGTGTGCCTGGACACTGAGCACAGCCAAGTGTGAAGTGCTGGTGGATGCTGCTTCTGAAAACCCCATCAATTGCTCAAAGATGGGGAGGTAAAGAGATGACAATGTAAAACTCTGTGAACTGCCTTTGACTCATCCTGCTTCCAAGTTACTTGGAAATACATGGTAATAGATACCAGCCTGATATTCTAATAGTTAAATTAGCAAGGAAACAATGAAAATGCTGGAGTCCTCCAGTCACAGGTGATGAGCCTTAGTGAAAATCCCATCTCAATGGTAAGCACAGGAGATGCAGGGACAGTTGCTTGTAACAGGAAGGAAGGCACTAGACTGTATTGCCTTCTTGATTTAGTAGATTTGACTTCTACTTTTCACACAATGACCTAAAAGAAATATTACACCCCAGAGTAACTTTGAAATTGTTTGTTTAAATTAACTTTCATTTGGATTTATGCTTAATGAAATCTTCAGAGATGCAGACAGCCCCTCTCTAATGAAATGCTCTGTCTTTGAACCAATGAACAGGGTTGCCAAACTGTAAGGATTCCTCTCTAAATGAGTGGGCTTTTATAATGTTACACTTGGGTGGCACAAGCAGAGTGCTCGATGATTAGTTTATGGTCTAGATCATTGTATTTTTATTACACTCATAAAAACTGTGTTTCTCCTCATTTTCGTAATGGCTTCAATGAGCTTCTATACCTTCTAGAGGCACATTAAATCGTTATGTGATGAAAGTACTGATTTAGTGAGGCTAGTTTTAAAGTAAGATGCATGTTTTGAATTCTTATCTTAGTCTGATTGCTGGCTGAAAAAGGTGAAACTATTTTAGAATGAAAGAAATCTGTATCATCCTCTTTACATATCAAGAAGGTTTCCAGCTGTGGCCTGAAACAAATGCAGTACAAAAAAAGATACAAATGATCAATATATATCTGTCTGTAAAGTATCTATTATTTTAAAGTTTCTTTAAATGGTTTTGTGGCATTGTGAGATTTTAAAGTGAGGAGGAGGAAATTACAGACAATTTTATTTAAAAAACATTTTTGAAGGGGTTAAAAAAAAAGATTATTCTTAAATTCCACTATAATTTTTTTACTCCACTTCTTTTCAAAATGATAAATAACCCTATTCTGTGTAAACCCTAGATTCATTTCTCTAAATAATTCTAAGCCGGTTTTAAAAGTAGTTTTAATTATGTTGCAAAATGAAAAAAGGGAAGAAAAACGTTATTTGTTTCTCTATATGCAAGCTATTCTTAAAAGAGAAGACAACATCATTATCCATGAATGGGAAACCTTTTTATTTGATATGTAATTTAAAAAATAATCCTTGAATTGAATGTATCATCTCATCTTTGCACAGTTTAGACAAAGGCCTTTTTTGTTGACAAAATTTACATGTCAATACAGTTGCTTATAAATATTTCTGTGAAATAAACATAACCCTTCACAAAAAGAGCAGTTTACTCTTCATTTAGTAATTTTATATGCTAGCAAAAAGACAATGAAAGTTGTATGCAAATATAACATCAATGTACAGCATAATAATAACAGTTTTTAGTGATTATACTGCTTGGTATTAATTCATAGGAGCCTTTTTGTTCAGTCATGGGCTGTGTTTGGAACAGAGATATGCCAGACCAGAACATCTCTGCTTGTTTGCTGTTTGTGAGAGACATCCACAAATCCTTTAGTTGAGGATGTGCTTGATTCTTGTATTCTACTCTGGGGCTCGTCTAAATTATTAAGTGATCATGCTGACAGTGAAGATTCTCTGTTTTCCTCTGTTTCTGTACCTGTGCTCTGTGTGTGCACTGTCTGCAGCACAGGTTGGACTTGCATTCTACCTTCAGGAAAAAAAATAAAAGGAGAAAACAGAACTAGAAAAGAGGAAGGAGAAGGGACTGGAAAAAAAAAGTGAAGGGAAAATGAAATAGAAAAGAGGGAAAAAGAAAGGAAAATAAAAGCAAAATTTAAAAAAAAAGGAAAAGGGAAGAAAGAAGACAAAGGAAAGCTGGAAGGAAAGAAAGAAGGAAAATGAAAGTAATGCACATTTGCAATGAAGCTTTTATAAATGTGCATTTGGAGAGACGACTTCTCCATCCAAAATGTTCCTGGAAAAACAGATTTGCTTTGAATTTTCCCTGCCTTTTCTTCATTACTGTTGTTCAGATGCAACTTTTATGATTGTTTCAGCAATGCAGTGCTTTAATGGCTTTAGCTACTTGGCAAAGTGAAAAAAGACATAGAGTTGAAAACACAAATAGGTTTCAGTATATTTTAGTAGGTCTGTGCTGCTTCAGTGTTAAATATCAAATCTTAAATAGATGGGTGTTCTGCAAGCACCACTCAGTGCTCCTTCAGTGGATCTAAAAGTTTGCCACAAAAGCAGTTGAATATGGTACCGGGAGCAAGGAGAGATTTTGGGGATGACCTGAATTGAAATCGCAGGAAATTCTTTAATATTTCATGGACGCCTGCAAAATATGGTGCCAGTTTATTCAGGGATTTGAAAGCAGCTGCAGAGTAAAAGTGTCTAATGAAAATGAAATAAATTTCCTGTGAATGGAATAAATTTTGATTGTGTGTCTGAGTGCAGTAATTATACATGTCACGCAGTAATTAGGCAGTCACAATGTGGCCACGGTGTCTTTCTTTGTCTGCAGATGGTCTGGGAGAACGGCTGTGTCGTTATTGTCATGCTGACACCCCTCGTGGAAAACGGAGTCAAGCAGTGCTACCACTATTGGCCGGACGAAGGGTCAAACCTCTACCACATCTACGAGGTACCTGCACAAAATTTCTGGTTGCAAACGTGACAGTAAGTGCTGATTCCATCCAGGGCAGAAGGATGCTGGAGATGTTTTAACCCAGAGGTCGAGCTGCGGACTCTGAATTACTCCTGATGTGCCTTCGGGTAGTTCTGCGTTTGCAAAAAAAATTGGAGTGCAGCTTTAACAGCAAGGTGGTTTCCACCAAGCATAGTAAATAATGAGTGAAATATTGCAGTATTAAAAATGAAAATAATGTTTGCATTTTGAATGGTTTTGCAAGTGTTTGAGATATGAAAGCGTGTATTTATGTTTTGTAGGAAAATAGTATTTTTGGAACTAGTGGATTTTGCCTTAGGATAGCCATATGTAAATCTTTGTAGAAAAAATCCTCTATATTGCTGTAGTAATTAATCTTATCTATATTTATCTCATGCCTCAGTCACAACAACAAATATATATTTTTATTTTCTGCTTTGCATTTCTAGCCCAAAATATCATATCACAAGTTATGTTGCAATGCAATATTGACAATGACTGTCAGATTTTTCCAGTGGTCCAGCTGTGTAGAGGAAGAAAATAATACCACAATGCCAAACACAAAGAAATGTGGAGAAACTGTGAAGAAATGCTGTTATTTAAACTAAAATGGGAATAAAGTCATTTTCTGAAAAGATGAGCTCTGCAAAGAAACTGCATTTTTTAATGCTTATTTTTCTTCATAGCAAAAGAAACTGAATTTTTACTTCTCTTGTGAATTCAACTCAGATTTTTAAGACCTCTGAGAGTGGGCTGGGCAATGCATTTGTGGACATTTTTGAAAAGAAAGGAACTGCCAGTCTAACACATTTTCAATACAAAATATCTTTTGTATTCACATAATGTTATAAAAATTTAATTCAGTGAATTTTTCTTTTGCATGAAAATTGTCAAGATTTTTCTTATGTTTTCAATGGAAGAGCAATGGCAGCTAACCCCTTTCTGACAGCTACATTGATTGCTAAATGAATTTTTTTTTTCCCCTCCATACTAGCCAATTTGCTAATAAAAATAAAATTTTCATGCAATTCCTTCATCCCAGAAATCTTACACGTGCAATCCCGGAGATGTGACTTGCAACCAGAATTGCTGATCTCCATTTGTTCCCTCCTGTGGGTGTGTAGGTAAATCTTGTCTCTGAGCACATCTGGTGCGAGGATTTCCTCGTGAGGAGCTTCTACCTGAAGAACCTGCAGACCAACGAGACCCGCACAGTGACCCAGTTCCACTTCCTCAGCTGGAACGACCAGAGGGCTCCTGCTTCCACCAGATCCCTTCTGGATTTCCGCAGGTAAAGCACAAAGTATGGCGCTTCTTCTAAGATGACACGGATCTGGGGAACTAGGGCTTTTTTTCTTCCTTTAAAGAATTTTGGGTTGAAAGGGGGCTCCTCAGCCTGTGATGCCACAATGCTAGACTAAGAGAAATATCTTCACTAGGTTGATGTTTTTAGTGTTGCCTTACACAGAGATGGTGGCTGGGTTTAAGACATATTCATTTCGCATTTAGAGATCAATACCTTTCCTCCCTTTGTATAATCTCAGTGCTTCTGTATTTCTTTGTTTTTCAAGTATTTATTCATTTCTGCAACTTCCAGGCTTTTTGTGTAGCTCCCCCAAGATCCTTATATCGGGACTCTCACAAGTAAATTAGGAGGTGTGAGCTTTAAAAAAAGAATCACAATGGAGTCATATGGCGATAGCATCATTCCCATGGTACCATTTGCTCGTAAGGATCCAACAGCGAGGTCTGCAGACCTTTGGCTGCAGGAAGGTGGAAGCTTGAGGAAGCAGACGAAAATGTTGACATAGCATACCCTTTGGAACTTTAAAGAAAGTCAGTGTGGCTTTAAAATACAAATATACAAAGGCAAAAGCTGTGAAAGTCCTCGCCACTTTTTCTAATGTTTGCTGTGCCTATCTAAATTTTAATTTGAAAATTAAAGCCATGCATGATAAATACTGGAGCGAAATAATCTTCATTTGATTGCAAACCGTGCCCAGTGCATCACGTGTAGGTGTTAGCGTGTAACAGCTAATCCGCAGCGACGCGCTTATGACTAATGAAAAGAATCTCCAGGAGGTTTGGGGAGTTGGTGCTCCATCCACCAGCGGCCTGTGGGATCACATGTTGTTCTCTCTGCTCTACAATATTATCTACAACCCCCCAAAGTGATTATACGGGGCTCAGCGCTCAAAAGATCCAAAGTTTTTTCTTTCAAGGATGCTGGGAGCTTTGACTGATGCCAGTCAAAGTCGTGCATCTGCACCCGAGGGGAGGAGCTGGCATACAGCCAACAGGAGCTGGTTGCACAGTTGTCTGTTGGCAAAATCCTACCCTTAAAAATTTAGGGCTAAATGCCACCCTTCATCTACTCACTATTCTTGTACATATTGCAAGGCTTTTCAAAGCAGAGAGATATCTCACACGGTGCAGGTCAGGTAATGGAGTGCAGCTGCTCTGAGTCACTTGGAGGTATGGCTAGGTGAGGATGTAAGGATATACTACAGAGTCACAACACAAAAGCAGTAGTGGAGCAAGGAAGCACAGCCATGCGATGGAGTTGAAATTGTAATTGAATTTTCAAGGTTTTCTTCTCTGGGTTCAACTTTAATATGATTTTTATAGGTTGATTTCCCTTTGCTTGTGGTACCGAGGAAGTTGCCCGTAGTGAATTTTTGTAGTGACAATTGTGACTCGGTTCCATTAAGCTGTGTGAGGCTGCAGCACAGAGCCAGTGCAGCATCCAGCTTTGCTCTTTTCAAAGTTAGTGGGAAATCTGCTAGCAATTCTAACTAGAGCATAAATGAGCCTGTACAGCCACGACATCTGAAGCTCAGAGCACCTCGCCTCTGACTTGTTTCAGTAAGGATTGAGGTCCCTGCATGAGCTACAGGATTAGATCTGCAGTAAGTCACAGTTCACACTGCCAGGAAAGAGCCTCTTAGAGTGACATTGTGTAAGGGTTAAATAGCCATGTGGAAGAAGTGTTGTGCAATACTTTGAAAAAGAAAAATGATAACTAGATGAGAAAAGTAGCAGAGCTGCCATTCTTTGTATTTTAAGCCAGTATGGGAATGAACCTGTTAAGATTTAATTGAATTCTGAGTGTTCATTTCACATGTATTCACAGTCCAGTGTAGGGTACTGTAATCATTTGCTACGTGCAGATTTTGTACAATGAACTCATAGTACTGAATGCATAGTAAAATTCCGCCTGAAAAGGAATTTTGGCATGCACAATAGCCTGGTCTATGAATCTCAGTTTTCTTGGTCATCTGATCTTTGGGTTGTTTTTTCTTTTTCGTTCTTTTTTAATGACAAAAAAACTAATGCACTATCGCTAAAATAATGTATTTGGAATTCATTTATACAATCCATGTTTTGCACCTGAAGCTTTCTATTGAAAGTACAGACTCTGCTGGATTACTACAGCTGAGTCATAAAGCCCCCAGAAAAATGTCTGGCAGTGCTACCATACTCTTAGTAGGGTAGTGCTAGGAGGGGCTGCTCTCATTTCTTTTAATCTTATCTATGTTTTTATGTGCATTCAGTGTGTTTGTATATATATATGGATATGTGTGTATATTTATATATTCACATACATATATGAAATTAAGCATATACATAACCAACCCTCTATTTTTTTATAATTCATCACCAAGAAAAATTGGATTCCCAAAATTACCTTGCCCAGAGTCTGTGGAAATATGGACCTAAACATTTTTATTAAAGTAAATTTTGCAAGTCTCTTTGAAAACTGAAAGCTTACATTTCTCTTACTCCATATCAGACAGTGATTTAGATGATTTTGCATCTAGCAGATACATTATACCTTGCTGAATAATCTATCATACTTCCGTAATGTAGGAATAAATTGCCAAAAAGACATTATTCTATATACTTTACAAATCTGTACAAAAGACAGTCCCTGAGAGGTGAGGCTACTACGGAAACCACTGGTCAGTTTTAAATGCTTCTGGAGTCCTAATTTCATTTTGAACAATAGACCAATCATTATTGCTCTGGACTAGCTTGTTAGTCATGCACTGATATGTGTCATTAAATATTTCTTAAGCCCAGAGGGAGCACATTTACACTTTAAAGAGGGACTGCTAAGCTAAAAGATAATTAGCATCACATGTGAGGGCTTTGCTTAAAATATATATCTATTATGCTATCACTTCTCGCTGTGTGCAATGGCATTTACTAACACTGCTCACTTTAAAAATGGACAAATTCTTATTTTGCCAGCTAATTAGCGGTTGCCAGTGTCATTTTTGTGATGTTGCAGCTAGTAATATGAGCCCAGTTGCATAGTCACAAAAGTGATCATTGGAAACTGTGACTCTGCTGCAGGGACAATGTGGGAAACCCCTTTTCTGAGCCTCTAACGACCTCTGACCTTTGCTTGCTGATGGTTTGCATGATGATTTCTTTTTCACTCAATGAGCCAAGGGTTGGTTTGTATTACTAATCATTCTTTCTAAGTTAATTCTTCCTGTATATGTATATATTTATATATATAATATATATTTTCTTCAACATTCAAGAACTTTGCTTACTGAAGAATTTTCAGCTCACTCTCATTAGCCAGAACTAAGAATGAAAAGAGATGTTGCTGCACTTCTAAATATTTTCATAAGCTATATATAGACTAAGCTATGAACCAGCTGGATTGAAACCCTTTGTTTTAATGTGTTTTCTGAATTGTGTGATAATGAAAATGTTTGAAACGCCTTCAATAAAACTGACAAACATAAGGTGTCTTTCCCTAACATGTGTCTCTGGCTGTCTGATTTACTGAGAGGTCTGATAGATTTAGATCCAGTTTGCCATTGAAATTATATTAGGACTTTGGTAGAGGGCTAGTCACAACATGCAAATATCATGTTAGTGGTGCCACGCAAGGAACAAAGGAACCACACAAGCAGAAACAGAAACGGTAAATACCCCTCTGTAGTGATTGGCTTTTATTTAATACTTGAAATGGAAAAACAACTCTTTACTAATGCACTTGATGGGGGTGAGGGGAGAGTGACCAGCTGCGAGTTGGGGAATGCAGGCTGACTGTATCAGATGTTGGTACAGACATTTCAAATATAATTTACTGTACAATAAAAAAAAAAAAAAGCCCCACCAAACCAGGTTTTGTATCATATAGAAGGAGCTGATCCCCAGGATATGACCATCAGGAATTGAATGGTTCGTTCATGTGAAAACTCTTCTGTAGCCCAAGTTGTTGAAGTTTTGTTTGGTACTGCCTGCATATAGATATATTTATGGACATATAAATGGTCCATTTAACTTCTGAGGTCATGTGCTTCTCAATGACTTACCACTCATTTAATGAGAACATTGTTCTACTGCATTAATTACTTATATCCAGGGAATATAAATAGAGACAGAATGTCTCTGCAAGTATGATTTACATAATTAAGCAAGAGAGTAAGAATTGTGAAAAGTCTCTGAATTCAAATGTTTAAAGGGAATCCCAACAAGAATTTAATATTGGTCTCAAGTTTGGTTAGAATCTTAAATCACAAAAATAAGAATATGAAAACATGGTTTCATGGGATATCATCAATACCTCCATAGACCATTTGGGTTGAGTTCCAGGTATCCCAACACCCTGTCAGAAGTTTAGGCATCTTCAGGCTATACTGTAAGCAGTGTTTAAAGATATGTGCATGTTTTCACAGCACAGATGTTAGTGAATAGATGAACAGCCAAGAACTAAATGATTCAGTAGGTTAGTTATGCTTTAAAATTCATAATAACATCACACCACTGTTAAATTTTAGCAGCTCCCTTTAGTTTAGTTATCAGGATCCTGTATAACACTTACACTGAGCTGGGGACTATTAGAGCACCCTTTGGAAGCTGCCTTATGAAATTATTTTATAGGAGACCTTCTAGCTCCAGTAAACTCAAACTCATCAAATAATTTGAATGAAAGGTTTTGATTTCTTGCAGCAATGCTTTCCCATTTTAGCCTTTATTCATCTTGCCTTGTTAACATATGTGTGCATATTTTATGGATTTTTGGCCTGTAACGTTCTTGACATGCAAAATATATCCTAGAGCTAAAGAGAGGGCTTGGGATTTTGGTGTTTGTAAGGCAATTTAAATAGATTTAAACCAATTTTGTGGGCTCTATTCTTAGACTGAGTATCTTGGTTTGCTTCAGCACTAGTTAATTCCTTCATTGAATTTACACATCAGCTAACCTGTTCTGTGGTTATATTCTATTGATTGATTGCACCTATATTCTCTTGCCACTGAAAATGTTTAACCAGGAGACTGTCGAAGACAACAATGTGTAAATATTAAACATATAACACTTTTGCAATAGAACTAAAGCAGTAGAGCCAAAGCTTTCTGATGGGTTTAGTTATTTTTACTATAATAAGATTACATTTTAGAATTTTTAAGAAGCGTTTCAGGAGATTTGGCATTTGCCTTTCTGGGAAGAAGTGGTGTTACAGATCAGCACACATTGTACAAAGTGTAGTGGAATAGCCCTTTTTAATTTTGTATTCAGTTTGATGACCCTTGAGAAAGCTCATGAACTCAAAGTTTGCCTCAAAATCAAGGCATCTCAAGATAATCTTAGTTTTGGAGCTAAGAAATGAACCATTTGAGAAAATAGCTCATTTGTTTTGCCCAAACAACAGTAATAATGGAATGTTTTCTGAGATTTCTTAGGCAGCAAACCAGAATCAAACTTTAGAGAAGATTGTCTACCTAATTGCTTGTTATATTAGGAAACTATCAACATGAGTATTCCTTCAAAGACAGTAATATTTGCATTTTCTTATTGCTTATTTTTGACAGTTGGTGAAAGAAACAGTAAATAATATGCTTAATTAATTTCTTGTGTCTGTTTTATTTCAGAAAAGTAAACAAGTGCTACAGGGGTCGCTCTTGTCCAGTAGTTGTTCATTGCAGGCAAGTACAATTTCTAAAATAGCTTTAGACAGATCTGTATGTGTAAGAATTTAATATAGATATAAACAAAGTGGGCAAATTAAAGCCTTACATGAATCGCTAAACAGTGTGGTAGCCTAAAAGTTTTAAGTGTAATTCAATTGAGTTTTAATGCTATTTAATACTTAGGATGTGTTTTTATCATAAAATTATTCTTCCATATGATGTTTTAGATGTTGAGCCATGACTTAACAACGTATGGCCACACTTTCTAGTATAAGCAGCACTTCAATTACATACATCTCCTTCAAAATTATAGATGTTCTTTGCATGCCCTCCCAATTTAGTCTGCTTTATTTTATTAACACTCAATTATGTTTTATTTCTTCTTTACTTGTTTTTAGCAATCAGGGCAGGAAGAGGGCAATGTCAGGGAGTGGAAACCTGCCCAGAGATTGAGTAATTCTTTAAGCACAGACTATTTTTAGGCCTGACAATGTGATAGATGCACACGAAAGCTGCCAGGCAGTTCATTGGAAAAGTTTACCATAATAACGTTAATGTTGGGGTTTGCCATTGAGGGTTCTGAGTTATTTATCAAAAATATCCTTGTAGATAATGAAGACAGAAAAAGAGCCCTGCTAAGTGGCAGGATGTTTGCCATGTGGCACTTCACTGTGGATGGGGCTGAGGAGGGAGGGGATGTGTCTCTCACGTGTGGCTCAGCCGAGTGAGGATGCAAGGAGCTGAATGCTCCAGAGGGGGCTGCTCTGCATTGCCTTCAGGAAATGCAAGAAAGGAACAATTTGATGCACAATGAAGAGCCTTCAAATTTCTTGCTATTTCCTTACTGTGATGGATGGAAATATCTACCATGAGCTCAGGAGTTTTTGTTTTTTATTGAGCCTGATTGCTGTCTTGTCTCTCATTATTCAGCTTAACTAATAAGATTGTGTCTTTGTTCCCTTCATAGACAGAGGGAAAAAAAATTATTATCACTAGCTCCTTTTCTCTAAACAGTGATCTAGTAACTGAAAGAAAAAAATCTCTGTCTACAGAAATTAAGTTTCATAGCCTGACTGTAAACAGAATGCAGTAATGTGTTTCATGCTGTTCTATTATTTTTTTTCTTTCATTAATTCTTTTACACAAATTGAGCTATCAATAAAAATAATGGCTTAATTAATAAAACTACATACCAGCCTAATGGGTCACACATGCACCTTTGTAAAAATTTTGGGGAGGGAAAGAAAAAAAGCTTTTACTTAAAGTCTTAATTATGTTTGCTAACAGCAGCTCTAAAAGAGCATCACGCTGGCAATTACACGTTGCTCTCTGAAAGGGACACAAGCTGCATTCAGATTAGGGAGCTTTGCCCCTCCCGAGGCTTGGTCTCACATCTCTGAGGAAGGGCTGTGGATACACAAAAGTAAAGCTATTTCTTAAAATTACAAGATAATAGTTCTTTCTGGTCATTGTTTCTAGGGAAGAATTGAAGGGAAAGGGACAGAGAAAAAACAAACCACTCATATGTAGTGAAGAAAGATTGCAGTCCTCAGTAGTTAAATATTTGTTCTTGAGCAGATCTCTGCATTCCCTGTCACCACTGTGCTCAAATGCAATCTGCAGCATTTTTGACTGTTTTGGATAATGTTCTAGTCAAACTTACTCTTGAGTTCTTCATCTCATATATAAGTGACTGCAAGGTCACTATATGTACACTTTTTTAATTGAAATGGTATCCTGGTTTAGGGTTTTCCACTGTTGTTTAAAATGTTTCTCTTGCATGAACACAACTTGGCTTAAAAAAATCAAAACAAAGCCCTGTTATCCATGCAGGGTAGTAGTTAATCTTCCACAACCAGCTTGTGTTTATTCAGTGCAAGCTTTCTCTCCTCTCTCAGTACCCTCCTTTAACCCCTCATTCTCTCCTCTCCCACCATGTGTAACGCTGTAACATTAAGGGCAGGTACCTTCATGTTAAGTCTAGATGCACACTGATAGGCTTTATTTTTTCTTTTTCCTTTTCTGTTGGCAGCGATGGTGCGGGAAGAAGTGGAACCTACATTCTAATTGACATGGTTCTCAATAAAATGGCCAAAGGTGAGAATCGAAAGGCTTGTTACTCCCTCACTACTGAAATATGTGCTTGTGTTGCCATGACAACAGTGGGGGAGCAATATTCACAGAAAATCTGAGAATAAATTAGAGGCAAATTGTACTCTTTCCTGAATGTTCTGTAGTTTTTATTTTCATACCAAACGCAAATGCTTTGTGAATGAGAGGTGTGTTTGTGCTGTTGAGAAGTAGTTGAATTTTTAAATTTATCATTTAAAATAGTTATTGCAGTTTTTATAAGAGATGCCTTGGGGCTGTACAGCCATAATTTAGTGGTTACAGGAGCTAGGTCCTGGGCTGTGTCATGGCTGTTGCCCAGGTGGGTGTTACCTGCCCCACCATGACAGTCAGATGTGCTTATTTTCCTTTTTGGAGCTGCCCATTGCCACCAACACATGTAGAAGTGGTGGTGCCAGACAGGACCTCATATCTAGCACAGATTTGTTTCTTACAAGGAAAAAGACTGTAGTGAACGGGACAGAGAACTGAAAATAAATCTCCATTGCCAGTTCTGACACTGTCTATTTAATATTGAACAATGTATTTAACTTTCCTGTTTCTTAGAAGTCTCATCTGTGATATGTAATTTTATGACATGGGAAATAATCTGTCAACTAAACATAAATTTGTTTGTTAAAATGAACAATCTAGAGATACTCTAGAGATTGGGATCATTCCTTTTTTTTTCTTGATTGGTAAATTGTTCATGGTGGGAAGTACTTGAGATACTCGGAAATAATCTTTGTTGGAGCTGAACAAAATTTTAATGCTGATACTCTCTTCAGAAGGAAATAATCTTTGTTAGAACTGAACAAAATTTTAATGCTGATACTGTCTTCAGAAGGAAGGAGGGTGAGACTGAGCATGTAAAACTGACCAAATAAACAAAAACAAATTTGCCTTTATTGATTCTTAACCTGAGTTCTTAAGCCGCATCTGGCTTTATGCACACACGTGTATTTAATGAAAAAGGATTAGGTGTAAAAACATACTAATTTATAGAGAGAAACAATATTTAGTTCTTTGAATTCTAATCACTTTACAGCATTTATTTAATATCTTTTAACACTGACATATTTTTATATGTAGTTTAAAAATACTCTCCATGCTTTGCAGTCATCTGCTGTTGCATCCTGAATATTCCAGTCCTCTGGGACATGGTGGTATCCGGTCTCTTTAGAAAGAAGATTTTAGCTTTTTTTTCTCTCCAGATTTTGTTAACATGTCTCATCAAACATGGACTGAATTTTCTGCCCGCAAGCATCATGTGGAACTTGCCACTGATGCTAAAAGAAGTTGTATGTTTGCCTTCTCCTTTGCGCTGTACTGAAAATAAATTTTTCAGTGGGATGAGATTAGTTTTTCATGCTCGTTGGAAAATAGGTTTTTGCTCTGTGAAGGAATATGGAGATATTTCCAATTCTTGTTACTTGCCACGTGACAATCTAGACTTTAAAAATAGAAGCAATGGTGCATCGTAAAATTAATGTGGACCTTTGTTAAGTGTTTGTTCACTCATTTCAGCTATCAGCAGTGAGAAGCCATAATGAAAACTAGATTTAAACTATATGCAATTTATTGGCATGTAGAAGTAAATGAGGAGTATTTGCTAGCTCGAGGCTTTCAGCCACTTAAGGGAGGGTTGACTTTGTTGTAAAAGCACTGAAGAATGCCATTTATTGACTCCATTGTACCATGTAATGTCAAATTCCATTTTAAGTGTGGGCTTAGCGCTGCACAATGCCAGACAAGTCATGTGAAACTGGCCAGAGAAAGGCGTCACAGGGCTTTTTGGAGATCGGTCACCCCCATTTTGTTCTTGACCTGCTCCCCTCTGCCCGTGGGGGTGTGCGACGCGAAATCCCCTGACCTGGTGCTTTGGCTGGAGTTTAAATGAAAGATCAAAGGGCAGAGCGGGCATCTCAGCCCTGCTGAGGTGGGCCTTTCCCAGGCTGTCACACTGTGCGGCCGCCAAAGGTTTTGTTCGGGCGGGAGCCGCGGCCCAGCCTGTGCGGCCGGGGCCCTCTTTGTCTGGCCTGAGAAGCTGGAGGCCCAGGTTGAGGATCCAATGTTCATCAAATGATCAAAGGCCTGAAGCCCTGGACATGAAATCTTTCTTTCCATTTCCTTTTCTTAGAGAATGAATTGCACGAGTGGCAAAGAATGCCCTTTCCAAAGCTTTTATGTGCAGTGCGAGGGCTAACTTCAGAGTCCTTCAGCGCTGAACATAAAAATGTAAGTGCACTTTCAATCTGGGCCCAGCTGCAGGGCCAGCATCGAGGAACCCTTCTTTCAAAAAGGCTTTTAAGGATTAAGGCCTTCAGTCTTTCAAAAAAAAAAAAAGCAAAAAAAAAAAACCCAACCAAAAAAAAAACCACCACGGACTTTTAAGAATAAACTTAGAATAATTTGAGTTTCTTGTTCCATGGTCTGGTTTATTAGAAAGTAGACAATAATGCATTTTTAAATCAAAGTAAATAGAGGGGTACTTAGTTTGAGCAGTGGGAAAGTAGAAAGCAATCAATAAATACCTTGGCTCTTTAGTGGGGTCTTTAATAGGTTGGGCAAAGGAGCTCCTTTTTCATGTAATGATTTACTTCCCTGCATTCTCTTAGACAGTTAACTGTAAATGCCTTTGTCATTTACAATTTCTTCTACAGCTCATTGAATTAGTGCTAACACTTAGTCTATTAAACGTGTTATAAATTCATATCTTCTACTACCCTGCTGTTGCCAACCCTCATATTATTTTAGATGCTGAAAACACCAACAAGGGACCTGTTCCTAAAAGCTAAAGCAGGGGAAAAGAAATCAAGTTGGGGAGGACTTTGTGTTTGACATGTGCCACATCAATTTGACAGCCCCAACCCCTTTGAGGAAGGGAATTTTGAGGAATGAAAATTTAAAGAAGCAATGCATCTCAGCTCAGGGCACTTGCAGGACAGTAAAAGTTGGTAATGAGGGCAGAAATGCTCCCATGGTGTACTTGGGGGATTGAGCTGGTGAAAGATGTGCAGGAGCTCATAGGGGCACTGGGACAGATTTGCTGTTGGGGGAGGTTCTTAATGAATTTCACTGTCCTCAGTGCAGTAAATGCAATGACTGCGTCTGTGCACTTATTCCCAACACCCACATGAAATAATCTGAGATGCTGGAATAGGCAGAGAGCAGTAGTGTGTATCCTGTGCTATCATTCCTGTCATGTCAGCTGGAAGTTTAAATGCAAAGTAGGTCCTTTTGTTTCATTGTTCCAATAATTAATGTAGCTATTTATCATGTCGTTTATTACTATATTATTCTAAGCAACAGCTTCATATGCTGTTGCCTAGAAAGTTTAGACAAGTTGATCCTTGAGGTCCCATTGCAACCTGGTGTTCTGTGATTCTGTGATATGCAGAGACCATGATCCTGTATCCATCAAGGCAATAAGAAAAATGAAACAGTGTTAAATCTTGCCTTACAGTAACGCATTTTAATGCCATTTAACATGTTTCAACTATGGTACCTATTTAACTATGATAACTGTTTGTACATGGGTGTTGAAGTTTTAAGACAGTTACCAAATCACCTCTCATTTCAGTGCAGCCATCTTAGGACAAGCTTTAGTTTTGAGTTAAAAGCTGAGAAGTGATTTCGATCAGCCCATGGGCATTTTCATGATTTAAAAAAATACAGAAAATGATAATGGATTGTTTTTGTACATAACAATGCTAGCTGGATTTTTCATAGGGACTGTTTCTCTGAGGCTGATTTCTAAGTTCCTGATGTATTTACAAGTTTTATCCTTTGTTACTAGGGAAGATAAGATGATTTAGATTTAGTCTACTTGATATTTCTTCCTCACCTCAAACTCACACTAATGCTGAGCTGATCAGATTTTTTTTTCTTTTTGTGTGATCTAGAGAAAAGTTGAGAATTTTCTCATTTCATGTCTTTCCCGCAGGCTTATTATAGTGACTAAAAAGTGTGATATATTGCAAGACATTTTTATTGAGTGTTTTTGGCACACAAACACACACACACAAAAAAAAAAAAAAAAAAGAAAGAGAGAGATTATGAGTCTTCCCACTTCCATTTTTCTGAACTGTGAGGCTTGGATAGTGTAGATAATAGTTTGATTTTTAGATATTCATTCAGCCAGCAGCTGCCTAGGGTTTGCTGACCATCCATTTTCTTGTGTTTGAACTAGCTGAAACGAGATGAGTCAAAGGGAAGGCGAATATGAATTTTAAAATCCTTTTAAAGTATTGATTTCCAAATTCTAAAACCCGGCAAAAAAAGATTCAATTTAGCAAAGCTGAACCAACGGTTTATTCTCCTGCATTCAAAAGCTTGGATTATAATTGATGAGCACACACACTCTGGCCAGGGCTGGCTCTGGAGGTTATCTCCCCAAGTCCTTTCCTTGCCCCTGCTACCCTATTGTCTGAGGGTCTTGTGAGTCAGCTCCTGAGCAGATGCAGTTTATACCGTGACATTTTAAGGCAAAACAAAAGATTCCTTAATTCGCCTTCTGACTCATCGTGATCAAATGATTTGGGCTAATCTGAACCCTTGCTGAGGTTTTGCTTATCTGCTGTTTGGATTTAACAATCATAATGAATTTGTGGGGTTAGCTCCTCTCTGAAAAGATTTTATGAAAGGAAATGCTTGCCCATACTTGTGTTAAAATGGATTCAATCTGCTTATTTTTGAGTCCTTATGCAAAGTCTGAGAAAATTCTATTGTCTGTTGTTTTGATACAAGTCTAGAGCTCACTATTTCTGACATGCTTTTGGTGAATGAGGGAATATTTCCTCAGCCAGGATCAAGCTTCTCCCATGACAACAAAATTTACCATACTGCTTTCCTTCGGAGGTTGAGAGAATATATAGTGTAAATGGGAGATTTCTTTTTTCCTTTTTTTTAAGGTAAATAATTGTTAGAAGGTCAAAAAGTGGGATTAGAAATAGTGGTATTCTGGAAAAAGATTTACAGCAGAAAAA